ACAAAATTGGTTTGATGGTAGGAGACGAGCGGTGGTGGTGGAGGGATTGATGCTGGGTCCACTGTTTATCATTTGTATAAATAATTTGGATGAGAATTTAGGAAGCGTGGTGGTTAGTTTGCGACTGACATTAAAAGTTAGTGGTTTAGTTGACAGTGAAGGAGGTTATCTAAGATTACAAAGGCATCTTGATCAGTTGGGCCAATGGGCTGAGGAATGGCTGTTGGAGTTTGAATTGGATAAATGAAAGAGATTGTATTTTTCGTAAAGCAAACAAGGACTGGATTTATGCACTTAATGGTGGGGCCCTAGATAGTATTGTCAAACAGAGATTCAGGGGTTCAGGTGCATAGTTCTTTGAAAGTTGCAGTGCAGGTAGGTAGCCTAGCTCTGAAGATATTTAGCACACCTGCCTTTATTGCTCAGACCATTTTGAGTATAGGAATTTGGACGTTATGTTGAAGTTGTACAGGATATTGGTGAGGTCACTTTTGGAGTACTGTGTACAATTCTGGTCACCTGCTGTAGGAAGAATGTTATTAAATTGGAGAGAGTTCAGGATTTGCCAGAAATGAAGGGTTTGAGTTATAAAAATAGGCTGGGACTTTTCTCTCTAGAGTGTAGGAGATTGAGGAGTGACATTATAAAGATTTATAAAATCATGACAGCCATGGATAAGGTGAACAGCAAAGGCCTTTTCCCTAGGGTAGGGGAATTCAAAACTAGGAGTCTTTTTTAAGGTGAGAGGAGAAAGATTTGAAAGGACCTGAGGGGCAACTTTTTCACTCGGAGGGTGGTTCGCATTTCTAATGAACTGCCAGAGGAAGTGGTAGATGCAGATACAGCTACAACACTTAAAAGATGTTGGACAGGTACATCAATAGGAAAGATTTAGAGGGATACAGGCCGAACACAGGCAAATGGGATTAATTTAGTTCGGGAAACTTCGTCAGCATGGACAAGATGGACTGGAAGAGTCTGTTTCCATGCTGTACAACTCTATACGTAGAATCCCATTTTATGTAGACAAAAGGAATTTGTGCATATCTTATTCAAAATAGGGATCATGAAGACAGCCAAACTCTACTGCATTCCTAGCGCTACACCCTGACCAATCAGAATCTATCTACCAGATCTGAGAATTGATTGCTGATTAACTGTTCTTGCTACACCTTCTTGCCAAAGATGTTGTAACCAATCAGCATCCTCTTCTCAGGCTGTTTAAAGTGATGTTTCTTTCTTCTTCGACTATTTTTTGCATTCTAGTTCCGAGTGAAAGACAAGAGCTTCACCTTCTAATCACTTTACATAAGTGGAAAACAATTATAAGAGCCTTTATTTTAAAAAAAAAAAATGATTCTGACATGATAATTTCCCCCTCACTGTCTTTAAGAGTATTAGAGTTTAAAATTCATGAAAAGCAGTTTTGAAACTTATTAGAAAATATTTCTTTTGAAGTGTAAGTGTTGGAATGATTTAACAGGCATACTAAGAATTGATTGGGGAATTCAAGGTACAGTTGGATGCAAGAATGAATTTATCACTCCAATTTTTAACCAATAAGCCAAATAGCTTTTCCCTTGAATTTTGAATTTGAATTTTGTACTTTGTTGTAAGTGGTTTGGGATAAGTCTTGCTGATTTTTTTTTTAACTTTATTAATAGGCTTTTTCCCAGGTAGCGCTCAAAGCTGTGAAGCATTTCTGCGGCATAAGATGACCTTAATTTCCCCTTCAATTCTCAAGAAATATGGAATCCCATTTGATAGGGTATGTATGTCATACTACAGTAATAAGACTTGTATATTCTAAATTATTTTGGTATGTTTTTACTGGAATGGCAGAGAGGAGGATAATGTCTGTCTGCTGTTACATTCCATTTCATGCTGACTTTATTCCAGATACTTTGTTTTGGCGCTTGTTGATCAAAATAAACTAGTGAAGTTAGATTATACCAAAGCAAATAGGATGGCTATAATTTATTTTGCATTCGGCCTGCAATTTTATTGATTGCTTAGGACGTTATGAAGTTTGTGTGTAGTATGCAGCTCCACCAGGTGCAAAATAATTTTCAAAGAAAGTAACATGATTCTGGAGAGGCAGGGTGCTTTAAGTTGTAAGGCTTACCAGTAGAAACAACAGCAGAGTTTAACTATTTAACTTAAAATGAAAATTGTGCAGGTACTCATTTCAGTTGGGTTGTGAAAGTTGGTTGCCAAATAAATTTTGTTCTAGCAGTGTTCATGTTAAAACTTTATTCTCTCAGCCAATATCTGTATCTATATTCTATGAATAAGGAAATAATTGTTCTTAAAATAATTTGCTGCTGTGTTTTTTGAAAAAAAGGTTAAAAATGAGGAAGAAGTGTTTATTGTGCTCTGTGTTGTCTACTTGCTCTTAGCTGAATGTTTAAAAAAAATTAAAATAATCTCCATACAGAATTGTTGCAAGTAGTTTTCTCCTTTTAGTTCTTTAAAAGCATCTTTTTGCCTGAAATGGTTATTGTTTTTTGTTTTACATGCATTCCTTATCAAAGGAATGGTGAAGTGTTTGTGGATGTCTACTGTCCAGTTTTAGAATATATTGGAATAAATATTTATGCTTCTATTAACTTCAGCTTTACGTGCAAGTGTGCATGTGTGTGGCCAGCTGATCCTTCTTCTAGAACCACTCGGTTCCACCTGAGTAGGTATGCGCACGGTGCTGAATGACTAATTAGAGAATGGTAGCTGCAAATTTGACCCAGCAGTTTGGAAGTGCCTAATTCATACTGCTCAGATGTTATTGCACCTTTGGGCCTGGATTTTTATTGCCTAGTAGGGTGTGCAAAAACTGGAGAACTCCTACATCTGTGAATTTGACCTTTTTTAAAAATGGGCACCCAACTTCCCCTCTTTCAGTGACAGGTGGGGAATTATAGGGTATATTGTAAGTTGAGTGCAGCAACCTGAGACAAGCTGAGTAAGTGCTGGGTCTGAGGCAAGCTGGACAGGAAGTCTTTGGTGGGTCTCCAGCAATATGTCCAAAAAGAAAATAGTATCCCATCCAATCTAACCATACGGCTTAATACTCTGAACCCATCCCTTGCACCCATTCTCTTCTTCCCACCCATCACCTCTCATACGCCTGGTGCGGCATCCCCTATGCCAACCTAATCCCAACTCTTGGTTTCACACACCATGTCAAGTCACCTCATCCACTAGTATCTGTGCACACAGGAAAAAGGAGAGGTCTTATTACTTAAATTTTAGGTTGCAAACTGCACAATATTGAAGAAAGTACTCTACCATTAAAATCAATGTTTGAAATTGCTTCCAAGAAGTTTATGCATCTTTTTAGACATAAGCATCTCTCTTATATTTAACAATCCTAAATGGCACTCCCTCACCCCCTTTCTTTTGGCAAGTCTAACATACATAGTCCACATTCTGGACAGGGTACCCTGTCAGGGTGTGTATATTTCACTTCTGTAGAGACAGCTGTAACTTTAAATGGCGTGCTACTTCTGTTAAATATTTATAAGCAAATCCCTGCCTGGCTCCACTCCTACCCCATGAGAATTGGAAGTGCTATTTTCGGGGTAGAATCTGTGATTTCAGTCCACTTCCAACGTTTTCTTAACAGCAGAGACTCCTCTTCATGGTGGAAATTTGAAGTAGGAAAGAACTTGCACAGCATACTGCTCTCCTGAATATGACTAGAGTCTTGAACAGGAATGTCCCTTTAAGCAAAGCAACTTGCAAAACAAAAACACATCAGCCCAAACACCACTGCAATTTAGCAGTATTTGTAAAGTGCCGATTGAGCAGCTGCTATTCATTCTGCTCTGCTTGTGGTGGTTACTCTTGTTACCAGAAATTGGGTGCATTACTTCATTGCAAGTGCTTATACTTCAGTAGGGAAAAGACTGGAGTGAGATTTTCCTCAGCAGTTAATTCTCAACCTTGTCCATTTTTGTCTAGTTGATTGTGTATTTTCTGCACATTTTATTTAATTAATTGAATTAACTTTTCATTTGTTCATAGATAACTCAAGAGGCAGGGGAGTTTATGATCACATTCCCCTATGGGTATCATGCTGGATTTAATCATGGTTTTAACTGTGCTGAATCAACAAACTTTGCCACATTAAGATGGATAGAGTATGGAAAACATGCTGTCCTGGTATGTTTACACTTTGATGTTTGTTACTGAGTTCTGAAAATAAAACAGGTTTTCTGATTATCATTTAGCTTGAAGTTATCCAATTGGTAAAGAACCATATTTCATGAGATTATTAGGACTATTGACAGGCTTAATTTGTTGTTAACTTGCATATCTTCTACATAAAATCTATAGGAAGTTTGGGAGTAGTTACTTAACTTGCAGAAAACACTTCTCATAGAAGACCAGTATCTTTTGTGAATTGGAAGGAAATCTCCTGCAGTCTTAGTTCACCATAACAGACTTCCGGTTTCATTGTTCTTGAGCACCTCAAGTTTAGAACACAGTTATGTTTAAGCGGCTAACTTGGCATGTGCATTTTTTGATCCATAATGCAGTTGTACTGAACCATTTAAAACCCTGCCAAAATGTTCTTGGCATTATTGCATTGCTCCAACTATCTTCATTTCACTGTGTTCTATCCAGTGCTCGTGCCGGAAGGATATGGTAAAAATTTCGATGGATGTTTTTGTGCGCAAGTTTCAGCCTGAACGTTACAAGTTGTGGAAAGTAGGAAAAGATACAATTTTCATTGACCACACACGAGCCACTCCAGAAGCAGTTGAATTTCTTGGTGGAGAATTAAACTCTGTAACTGCAAAGAGTTTGAAGGACCAGGATGCTGATACTGCTGAAATGGAATTGGATGACAAAGTTGAAAAAGAAGTATCCACCCAACAGGATGATGGTGATGAAATAAAAAGGTGGAATTTTTGTTCAATGCATGTATCTGTCCAGTGCTAAACCAGCTAAATCCAGTACTGGTATAATGTAGGGAAATGCTGCTAACTCTGTTAATTACTGATCCTTTTTTTTGTTGTTGAACATGACATTGAAGAAAGAAAAATTACGTTAGACATTCTTAGCCTAGAAGCAATGGTTATCTTTTCAAGGAATGGTGCCTGTTAGTTTGTAACCTTGTGTGTCTTATGTTTTTTAGTTCAAATCTTTTTATATCAATTTTTTTCATATTATGAAATCAATTTTCATTTGAATCAAGTTTTGTTGCAATGGGATTTACTCAGTATATTTCTATAAAGAGAAAAATAATTTCCATATGATTTTACAAACATTTATTCTGGCATCACAAAGTAGCTTAATTGCCAAATCAAGATACTGACACAGCCATTCTTGTTATTTATAATTTAAATTTTCTGTTCAGCATCATCTTTTAAGATAGAATAAGATATTGCACATTTAAGACAGATGAGGAAATATTTTCTCTGAAGGTTGAGCATCTTTAGAATTCTCTTCCTCGAGGCAGTTAATGCAGAATCTTTGAATATTTCTGAGGCAGATGTCGATAGATTCTTGATAACCAAGTGAATGAAAATTTGTCGTGGATATGCAAGAATGTACAGTTGAGCTTTAAGTCAGCTCAGCATGAATGTGTTGAAAGGCAGAACAGGCTCAAGGCCAAAAGGCCTACTTGTGTTCCATGATTGTATTTTTAATATTCTTCTTTCACATCTGTTTATTTGACGTTTTAGTGTCAGACATGTTAACGTGATATCTTACTTAAGGACAATCTTCTAACAATTGGAAGTTTTACTGTAATGAATGGCTAAATTATTTCGAGTGATCAGAGCATGTATTCAAATATCGTTAAATTGTTTGTTTGTTGAGCTATCATGGGAAAGATCGCAAGTTCTTTTATTCCATTAGATGTGTTAATGCAGATGAGGAACTGTAGATTGACAAATTTATGGTTTTTTGCCAATACCAGAATATTTAGACTCCCTGGCTTAAAAATTAGACCAGCTGTGGAAAGTAAAGAAGAACATTGGTGGAATGCAGTAAAAAAATTACTTTACGGTTTAGTGTGGACTTGTTACAGTTTTCTGTTTATAGAGATCAATAGATATTTAGTGTGCTTTTGCTAATGATCATTGCTTTTCATTATTCAGTCCAATACAACATCGTATTGGAGCAAAAAGGCACAAAGTTTGTCTTGAACTGCCGCAAGAAGTGAGTGAAAATACTGCCATCCTGAAAGAATGTGAAGAGAGTAATCCTGTTCCACTAAGTGAGTCTGGAGACTCTAAGGGAATAATGAGAAAGGATGAGGAGGAATGTGGTAAAGTGGCAAGTGATAGTACTGTTCAAGGTATGATTTTATACAAACTATTCTAGTTTTTTTATTTTTCACATCTTTCAGGAGAGATAACATGATTGCAATGCTGTTTACTAACTTTTTTGAACTTGTTAATTTTTATTCGCAAACCAAGGCTATTATCTGCTTTTGTGTTTTATTTTACCGTCAACCTCTGGGTGTAAATTTGAGTTTGCTTCATGCCACCCACCAGCCTGTAATTTCACAAACAGCAAAAAAACGTGAGTGGGTTGCCCATACGTGGCCCATTGAGCTCCTCAGTGCAATTAAAGCCTTGTGGCTAGTGGATTGCTGGAGAAACCAAAAAGTTTAATCCTGTGGGTTGGGCAGTAAAGGAAAAAAGGAAACCTCTTGCTGGATCCTGGTGCAAATCAGAGGGATTTCTCCATGTCCATTCCTCTCCTTCACTAGACCACCAGCAAAACTTCAGAAGTACCTGAATGTCCACATGCATCACTGAAAGCCGCTACCTTGGTCTATCTACATTGGTCCTGCTGGCCTCAAATTGGCCAGGACCGCACCAAAGCAGGTCTTTCTCCAGATTAGAGTCTCTCTTTTATCTTGATTTTTCAAGAGCCATTTCCCAAAAATTTAGTGAGGTGAACTGGCTGAGCTTTCACACGTGGAACATGAGCACCATTGGCTGGCTAGCGTTTATTGTCTGACCTCTAGTTGCCCATGAAGATAGTGTTGAGCTGCCTCTTTCAACCTCTGAGGTCCATATTCGGTAAATAGACTGACAATGCCATTAGGGAGGGAATTCCAGGATTTTGACCAGGTGAAGAAATGCCAATTTAATTCCAAGTTGGGATGGTAAGTGACTTGGAGAACAACTTGCAGGTGGTGGTGTTCCCATGTATCTGCTTCCCTCATCCTTCTAGACAGGAGTGGTCGTGGATTTGGAAGATGTTGTCTAAGGATCTTTGAATTTCTGCAGTGCATCTTGTGGCTAGTGGATACTCTGAATGTTGGTGGTGGAGGGGGTGAATGTTGATGTAGTGCCGGTCAAGCAGGCTGCTTTGCCCTGGATGGTATTAAACTTCTGGAATATTGTTTGAGCTGCATCCATCCAGGCAAGTGGGGAGTAGTCCATCACACGCCTGTCCAGTATCTACAAGGTAAAAGTCAGGATTTAGCGAGTGAGGAGGTGTGTTTCACACTGCAGTATTCCTAGCCCCTGGCTTGCTCTTATAGCCACTGTATTTATATTGCAAGTCAATTGAGTTTCTGATCGATGCTAACCCCCAAGATGTTGATAGTGGAAGATTCAGTGATGGCAATGCCATTGAATGTCAAGGGCTATTGGTTAGATTGTCCCTTTTTTTTTGGAAATAGTCGTTGCATGGTATTTATGTAGCATGAATGTTACTTGCCTGTTTTTAGCCAAAGCCTGGGTATTGCCCAGGTCTTTTTACTTTTGAACATGGGCTGCTTCTGTATCTGAGGAGTCGCAAATGGTGCTGAACCTTGTGCCGTCATTGGCAAACATCACAACTTCTGACCTTTACAATAAAGGGGAAGGTCACTGAAGCAGCTTAAGATGGTTGGGTCTTGGAATCTACCCTGAGGAGCTCTTGCAGAGATTTCCTGGAGCTGAGTTGACTGAACTCCAGCAACCACAACCATCTTCCCGTGTGCCAAGTATGATTCCAAACAGTGAAGAATTTCAGATAACAAGGTGTAGAGCTGGATGAACACAGCAGGCCAAGCAGCATCAGAGGAGCAGGAAGGCTGACGTTTCGGGCCTAGACCCTTCTTCAGAAATGGGGGAGGGGAAGGGGGTTCTGAAATAAATAGGGAGAGAGGGGGAGGCGGATAGAAGATGGATAGAGGAGAAGATAGGTGGAGAGGAAACCGACATGTCAAAGAGGTGGGGATGGAGCCAGTAAAAGTGAGTGTAGGTGGGGAGGGGATAGTTCAGTCCAGGGAGGACAGACAGGTCAAGGGGGCGGGATGAGGTTAGTAGGTAGGAAATGGGGGTGTGGCTTGAAGTGGGAGGCGGGGATAGATGGGAGGAAGAACAAGTTAGGGAGGCGGGGACAAGCTGGGCTGGTTTTGGGATGCGGTAGGGGGAGGGGAGATTTTGAAGCTTGTGAAATCCACATTGATACCATTGGGCTGCAGGGATTCCAAGCGGAATATGAATTGCTGTTCCTGCAACCTTCGGGTGGCATCGTTGTGGCACTGCAGGAGGCCCAGGATGGACATCTTGTCTGAGGAATGGGAGGGAGAGTTGAAATGGTTCGCGACTGGGAGGTGCAGTTGTTTATTGCGAACCGAGCGTAGGTGTTCTGCAAAGCGGTCCCCAAGCCTCCACTTGGTTTCCCCAATGTAGAGGAGGCCACAATGGGTACAGCGGATGCAGTATACCACATTAGCAGATGTGCAGGTGAACATCTGCTTGATGTGGAAAGTCTTCTTGGGGCCTGGGATGGGGGTGTGGGGCAGGTGTAGCACTTCCTGCGGTTGCAGGGAAAAGTGCCCGGTGTGGTGGGGCTGGAGGGGAGTGTGGAGCAGACAAGGGAGTCACGGAGAGAGCGGTCCCTCCTGAAAGCAGATAAGGGTGGGGAGGGAAAAATGTCTTTGGTGGTGGGGCCGGATTGTAGATGGCGGAATTGTCGGAGGATGATCCGTTGGATCCGGAGGTTGGTGGGGTGGTACGTGAGGACGAGGGGGATTCCTTTTTGGTTGTTATTGCGGGGACAGAGTGTGAGGGATGAGATGCGGGAGACACGGTGGAGGGCGTTCTCGACCACTGAGGGGGGGAAGTTGCAGTCCTTGAAAAACGAGGACATCTGAGATGTACGGGAGTGGAATGCCTCATCCTGGGAGCAGATGGAGCGGAGGCGAAGGAATTGGGAATAGAGGATGGCATTTTTGCAGGAAGGTGGGTGGGAGGAGGTGTATTCTAGGTAGCTGTGGGAGTTGGTGGGCTTGAAATGGATATCGGTTTCTAGGTGGTTGCCCGAGGTGGAGACAGAGGTCCAGGAAGGAGAGCGAGGTATTAGAGATGGTCCAGGTGAACTTAAGGTTGGGGTGGAAGGTGTTGGTGAAGTGGATGAACTGTTCGAGCTCCTCGTGGGAGCACGAGGCGGCGCCAGTACAGTCATCGATGTAACTGAGGAAGAGGTGGGGTTTAGGGCCAGTGTAGGTACAGAAGAGGAATTGTTCCACGTAACCTACAAAGAATTTTCCCCTGATTCCCATTGATTCCAATTTTGCTAGGACAATTTGATGCCCCTCTGTAAAATGCAGCCTTGACGTTAAGGTCTGTTACACTCTGTCACATGGAGATGGCCTTAACCCTGAAGTTTATGGTTGTGTGGAGAGCTTGCTTTCACTATGATGTTTTGGGCAGGTAGTATGCTAAAACAGTTGAACTTGACCTCTGAAGCACTTGATTGCAGGCACTATTGAATAGTTGGCAGAAACAGAATGCCAAGTTGTATATCTTCCTCTTCCCAAGCTCCTCCCACCTAGGAGGATGTTGAGTGCCAAATGTCATTGGCCTTTAGTTCTCCACATCACTTTTCCAACTGAAATTGAAAAATTCCACAGACTAGTAATTTATGGCATTAGTATTGAAGACTTTGTACCTTTTGGTGAGATAGCATCAAAGTCTCTCGGGGAGAGATGAGGTCCTTTAATAAGAAAGTGAACCACATTTCCACAGTGCAGTTGGAAGAAGAATTCGTCTACAATTACTAGTTAGGTTTTGCAAATGCATGACAATGTTCCCAGCCCCCATTTCCAACATTAGCCCATGACTTTGGCTTCCTGCAGCTGATATTTCCCACCTGTCACTTTTGGCCAGATGCTAGTGAAATACTGAAAAATTCACAGACCTCCACATTATCTGCTTTTTTTTTAAGTTCTTTGGCTGTTTCTGGCCTCCTTTTGGATCTTTAGAGAAATATTGGAGTTTTTTGATTCCGTTCCACAGCCTGGAGTGGAGATAATCACAAATATTGTAAAGCACTTGCATATCATGTTTTGAAATAACAATCTAATACCATGAAAATAGTTTTGCGGATTACTGCCAATATCTTTTACTCTGTTTTGTTTTGCAATTGAACATATTCTGCAATACAAAGTGCAGCACATTGTTTACTAAAGTCACTTTTTTTTTAATTGAAGCCATTTAATTTTTTTTTCTATTGTTGCAGAATCAGCTTCAGCACAAGTTGAGCCACACGTTGAAAATCTTCCACGAGAAGAGAAACTTACATTGAAGCGAACCATGTCCAGCTCTGTAGACACACCTGTTACTGTGTTAAACTTCTCTGTGGCCACTCCATCACAAAATACTCCTAGCCCACTTGTGAAATCATTTGAATCCAGCTCATCTGATTCAGAGATGACAAGCACTCAAAGTTCAAGCCAAGAGAGTGCTTCAGAGGACTCTGATAATAGCCCAGACTGGAACGAGCCAGTTAAAACAAATGTTGGAACAAGCCTCAATGAACAGGATCTTGCAGAGGTATACATAGATCAAGTATTTTCCTAATGCTTGGAGGTGCGTCCCCTTTTCTCTGTCTTTAGCAGTGTATCACTCTACCCCAGAAGGCAATGTATATCATCAGTAAGTGTGATTATGATGGGGGAAAAATACTAAATGATAAAATAGCTTAAATTTAAGAATAGAGGTTACAAAGTCCTTGGAAAGTAAATGTCTTAATTGGATAGAAGAACAAAAGAATCTGGGAGAGTAGGAAAGATATCGTCGCATGCTGCCTTGATGTCAAGGATCCCTAGCAAAACTAAAGTCATTGGGAATTGAGGAGGAAAGCTCTCTGGTTAGTGTCATTTCTAAAAGGCAGTTGTGGTTGGCATTCTTCATCCCAGCCTCAGCATATAAACTATAGGAGTTCCTCAACATGGTGTCTTACACCTAGCCATCTTCTGCTTCATCAAAGACATTCACTCCATCATAATGTGGGAAATTGGGATGCTGACTGTACAATCAATTTTCAGCACCACTCGTGACATCTCAGATACCGAGTCTATGTCCATATGCAGCAAGACCTGGAAAACATCCAGGCTTGGGCTAACCAGTGGCAAGTAACATTTATGCCATAAGTACCAAGCAATAATCACTATCAACAAGAGATAATCTAACCATCACCTGCCTCTTGATTTTCAATGACTTGCTGAATCCCCCACTGTCAATATCTTGGGGGTTAGTCTTGACCACAAACTGAACTGGATCAACTAGATTGAATATGGTGAATAATTCTCTTCCTATCTCCCTAGTGCCTATTTGCCCTCTATAAGGCAAATGTCACGGATGTGACTGAATATTAAAAGTGTCAGGATGAGTGCAGCTCCAGCAAGACTCCAAGCTTGACACAACAACCACTGACAGTGGCAGTGGTGTGTACCATTTACCAGATGCACCACAGTAACTCATCAAGACTCCTCCCAAAGCACCTTTTCAAACCTGTGATTTCTACCACCCAGAAGGACAAGGGCATAAGATGCATGGGAGCACCACCTGCAAGTTCACCTCAAACACACACAATGCAGACTTGGAATTTTATTGTGTCAAAGTTACTCCTTTAAAATCCCGGAATTTCCTTCCCAAACAGCACTGTTCAGTGTTCCCACAACCCAAGACTTCAGTGGTTCAAGGAGGCAGCTCAGCACACCTCCAGGCCCTTGAAAATGACCAATAAATGTCCACATCCTAAGAACAAGTTCTAAAAAAAAATCACATTTATAATATAGTGACATCTGTCAATAAGGTCATATTAAAAGTAAAGAAGGCGTTGAAGTTTATTTTATATAGGTGTAGATTTAAAACCAAAGTTACTCTGCATGCTCATATAAAAGCCAGGTTAAATAACACTTTTCTTTAGCAAAATGCAGGGCTTGACTTTTACACAATTAACGTTTTTAAGGAAGTTGAAATCCATTCTGTCCCAACATTTCACGATCCTAGTTGTCATGTCAAACTGCTGCCACCAAAAGGAAGGTGCGTTTTGAGTCCAGAGGTGAGCAGGTGGAAAGAATGAGCAGTTGGAGTTTTTGGCTAATCGTCAGGAGTTTGACTTTGACTTTTAAACAAGGTGTACTGTTACTCTTGTACCCTGTGAATACAGTATATGTTTATATTTAGAGAGTCTTGGTTATACCATGCTGGAATACTTGCCTCTAATTTAAAATAATAGAATGACTGGAGAAGGTGCAAACAAACAATTCATAAATAGTGCCAGAACTGAGAAGGCATGTTGATCAATAGAAGATTGAACAGACTTTGACTCTTTTCTGTAGAGAACAGTAGGCTGTGGAGTAACCTGATGAAGAGCTTTAGGATTAAGAAAAATTTGAACAAATAAGTATAAAGGTGATGTTGCTACTTACAGGTGGAGAACAGAACTAGGTGCCACAAATGTAACATGGTCATAATGAATCAGTAGAGAACTCAGGAAGTTTCTTTATCCAGGAAGTGATTAGATTATGGAACTCCTTGTCACAAGAATAGTTGAGAAACCTCAGATGCCTTTGAGAGAGAGCTAAGTTTCAAAAAGAGCAACAAAATCCTGAGAGAGATGGGGACTTGTATGGACTGCAGTCAGAAGCATAATCCTGAGTTTCCAATCACCTGTCAATTTGTTTTTCTACCCCACTTCCTTTCCATTCTGCTACTCTGTTCCAGTGAAGCTGAACTAGAACTAAAGGCACAGCACAAGTTCAACATTTTCCGCTTGTAACCTGTACCTTTATTATTAGATGACAGCTGTTGATGATTCTACATTTGCAACTCTAGGCAATCTCATTTCATTTAATTTCCTTGTCCCATTTGTAACATTGCTTTCCATTATTATCCCTTCTGTCGATTTTAATTTCTCCTGCCTTATACCCCCTCTCAAATCTTTCCTTTGTTTCTTCACCTTGTATTCTGTTTCTAGATCGTACTTGGCTTAAAACTTGTTGCATCTAATTTGTTTCCAGTTTTGACAAAAGATAATTGACATGAAACTTTACAGACTCTATCTTTGTTTATTCTCTGCCCACCTTTCCCAGTTCTAAGAAAGATTAAGCTATTTACCTCAACTCTAGGTGTTAGTGTCTTTCAGAGCATATTTTGTTTTGGGAAAGTTTATAGGGATTGGGAATCAGTATCATGGCATTTTTATAGTAATTATGTTAGCATTATTCATGTATTAAGATGAAACTCAAAAGTTTTGTACAGAAGATTGTTTCTGCTTCATTCAAATTGCCCAATGCTAACATGTCACCCCTGTTCTTCAGATGGAGTGAGATAGATCTACTGTTTTGTTCTTTCGCAGATGGCCGAGCAGTATATGAAAGAAATGAAATCCAAGAAGAAAGCCAAGAGTCGGCGTCAGCCCCTTAGTAAACCACCGCGACATCATCCACTTTCTGTGGTAAAGGACTACATTAGCGATGAAGGTATGTAAGTACACTAGAACTTGACATTCAGCTATAGTCAAGAGACTTTACTGTGAAAGCTTATCAGGGACTGGATTCTACATAAGTTCATGTCAGGGGTTGAGTATGTAGCAATATTTTTGAAAATTTGGTGCCACAATTT